TCTCTCTCTCTCTCTCTCTCTCTCTCTCTCTCTCTCTCTCTCTCTCTCTCTCTCTGCGCCAATGTCAAATTCTAGGCCTTCCTTGACTAGAAGACATCAAAAATTGATTTAGAATGACATCCATGCAATTGAAGTATTTTGTACATCACATATGTTAGCAATATACAGTATAGACGACACCTATTGCCATTTGTCCAGAGATGACTATGTATTATCTGTGTAGACATCGGATAAGTGAGAGCTTAAGGTGACTTAAAGTTTAGAATTAAAGGAATCCAGTTGCGGAAGAGTATGAGATATGAGGCAACAGCTAAAATAATTGAAAGCTAACCTTTCAAGGAAAGAGAAGGGTCAAATGTTAAGCTACCTTTTTCTTTATAATGGTACATAATTGCATGTTTTGTTTCAGATAAGTGCATTGTTATTATGAGATCTGACACGACAAGATAACATGAATGTAATAACATGTCTAACTTGGATCTGACGGGCTGAAGATGAAAATTGTGTTGTATATTCTAAATAAATTGATCAGGAGATGTGCAACCATTGACTATGTATTGGTTCTATGTGTAATTATTGTTTCTAATCTGAACAGTCAATGCCATGTTGAGTTTATGAGCATGTTTGGCAAGTTGATCGAGTTAAATTGTTATCCACTTTCTGGGTTATAATCCTAGGGAATTTTTTTAGTGACTTATGATCCACATTTTGACCAAGAAGAAGACAAAATGGCCCATCACTTTTATACGTCCCATTCTTTTCCACTTTAAGGATTTTTGTTCATTTTGACATAAAGCAAATGGATCATAAACCACCCTCTTTACCAAACATCTAAAATTTTAATCCCCCAATGGATTATAACCCATGTGAATTATAGCCTAGGATTGCGTAACATGCTCTCTGTCAACATGAACTTTCTAATTCCTCCTAGCAATGCACCGGTCGCTTCACCGAATGGATGGGTTGCATTCATAAATGCAGTCACTAGTTGTTCGCTACTTAGGTTTCAACTGTCTAGTAGAATTGACTTATCTTTGGACATACTATGCTTTTGACTACATCTAATACTATATGGTATTTCTTTTTGTTGAATGCTCATTTTGTGTGGATTACCATGTCAGAGGGTGTTAGCTTTAGTAACCAGAGATGGTGTGTGAAGTGGATGGGTCTACCAGACATTTTTATCTGGTTGTCCTTCTTATCCTATTGTTTTTTGTTGATATTAATTTCACTCCCACTGTACCAAATGCTGAAGTTAAAATGAAGAGCAAGTGATGCAATTTTTATATATGCAATCAGAGTCCACTATTCCTGTTACTACAACTTATGTCAATGATAATTTTTTAATACCCTATCTATGTCGACCATTTTGTTGGTGAATTGTGATTTTGAGTTTAGAACATACCAATGGCATTCAAAATACGATTTTACTAAGAACCTGAAGGTCCATAGATAGCCACATAGCTGTACAAAGCCTACCAAATAGCTGTACAAAGAACGATGGATGAGTGGCTTTGAATTAGTTGCAGATATGGCTTTCATAATACAATCTTGCTAATTCTTTCCCTCCTCAAAGCCTACCAAATAGCTGTACAAATAACGATGGATGAGTGGCTTTGAATTAGTTGCAGATATGGCTTCTACATGAAACATCCTCTGAACCAAATATGGAGGTTGAGAGGACGAGATTGCTTCCATCATTACGAAGGAGATAGGAGTTTGGGTATCCTTGGTACCAAGGATACCCATTTTTCTCTATTGTATTATTAAATTATGTTGATATTGTATTATATTCTAATAATGCTTTATTATATTACATTATAGTAAAATAATAATACAATATAACATAACATAACAAATGTTATATGTTAGATTTTATAGGGTAAGTCTCCGCAAAGCTCCACCACATTTCTAAAATATAGTTAGCCTTCATTAAAGAGATCTAACAGAGGAAGGGAGCAGGGGTGCTGCAACCTGTGGTCGGGGTAGAAGATAGACCTGTGGTCGGGGTTGAAGATAGTTTTAATGGGGGTTGGGGGGGGGGGGG